CATCACCAACTATGTATGTATGTTAGCATCACCAACTATGTATGTATGTTAGCATCACCAACTATGTAGTATATTGTGCCATACGTTGTACCCGCTACATCTGTTGCGCAAAGTTCTTCATGTATGTCACGGCAACATTTAGAGGATGTACTCCCGCTAGAATAAAGAAAATCAAACCAAAAGAGCCATCAAGATAATTGAAGATCCATCCAGATTGTTTTATAGTGGCTTTATCTTTATTTTTAGGTTTTATTTTATACCCTTTGAATGGCCTATAATATGCCTTCACTGTTGTTGCCCAGATAAATGATTTTTTGTTAAAAATAATTCGTAAAAACGGTACATTTCTGAAGTCACTTTGGTAGAATGTACCCTAGATACAATGAAACAAATTATCCCAATGAACACAAACTAGAGTACTGTGCTTCATCTCCAAATAGATATTTCGATGGCTGCCATATATAGTATAAAATTGGCAAGACAGTGTCAAATAAGCTAGGCATGGGTGGTGTGGGGTCGTGTGGCGTAGCGGCAGAGTGCTCGACTCGGAACCAAGAGGTTCAGGGCTCGAGTCCTGACATGCCACCGATCTTGTGCCCTTGGGAAAGGCACTTTACACGACTTTCCTCACTTCGCTCAGGTGAAAATGAGTATTGTATTGTCCCCTGTGTTGGTGGCGGCATTGATATAAGTTGATATAACTTGAGTGTGCCGTCACCACGTCTTGTGGTTACATGTTAATAAAAAACATAATCCAATACGCCACCAATTTGTTTGGTTAACCCTAAACAGTACACCTGGGGTCCGCGCGGACCCCAGCACTATATATTCTGTAATATCTTTTTTGTTTCTAAAGATTTTTTCTGTAAATTTTAGGCAATTGTCACCCACAAAGTTGTCTCTCAATACAGTGCAGAAAACTCCGTTTCTACCATTTATAAAAAAATTATATCTGATTTTCTTTTGGTCCGTCGCGGACCCCTGCCGGCTTTCGATCATAATGGATACACTGGCGTTCTTATACATTACCTTATTTCCGTTCTTATATGTTTTTATGAACTCATCGTATGTCTACCAAGTTTTCAGAGAATGGTGTAGTAATAGAATTAAATTTTAATAACTTTGGTGTAATTATGACGTCATATGACGTCAGAGCTAATAATATAGTCCGCCATATTGGATTTTGACCAATGACGTCATCAAATTAGCATATTCTATGCATATTAAATGATTTAACTTATATTTAATTATGTAAGATGTTATTAATGTTGGAAAAGAAGTGTAATTTAATATAAAACTCTGAAAATTTTTATGTTTAAACCAAAATTAACTTCTATTTTGAAAAATAGAAAACCGTTAGCCATGGCAACACAAAAAAAACATCAACTTACTAGTAA